TTGAAAAGATCAATGTTTCAGACAGTTTTCTGGCAAGACTGTTCAAGAAAAAAAAAAAAGGCACATTAAACAGCATGAGGAATGAAAAAGACCTAACCACAGATGCTGTATGACAATAAATAATTTAAAAACATTATAAACTACTCTATGGCAATAAAATTTAGAACTTAGATTAAACGGGCAAATTCTTAAAATATATATAGTATATCAAACATAGCTTAATAAAATAAGAAGTAGAAAAACCTGAATATACTATAATCATTTTTAAAAAGCATCAGAAGTCCTTCCATGGAAAAAAAGACCAGTCCCAGATGGTTTTATAGGCAAATTCTACCCAAACTTATTATTCTAGGAACAAATAATTCACATCTTACACAAAGATTCCAAAACACACAAAAAAGAGCTACTCCAACTCATTTTATGAGGCCGGCCTAACCTTGATGCCAAAACCTGACAAGGATATAATGAGAAAGGAAAATTACAAGCTAGTTCACACGTGAACATAAATGTAAATGTTCTTTAAAAAAACTAGTAAACTGAATCCATTAAAAAACTAATAGATCATGATCATGTTGGGCTTATTCCAAGAATGCAAGGTTAATTTAACATTTAAAAATATCAATTAATATAACATTCACAGATTAAAGGAGTAAAATCATATAATCATCTCAATAAATACTGAAAAAACATTTGATAAAATTCAATATCAATTCATGATGAAAAAAAAAACTCTTAGCAAGCCTTCTTGGAAGAAGGAAATTTCCCTAAACTCTTAATAGAGGTTTAAATAGAAAAGCATGGAATTTTTTTCGGGTAACTAGGAATAAACCTAGTAAACATCAACAAAATCTTTATAAAGAAAATTATAAAGCTTCATTTAAAAAGTATTTTCTAAAGGCCTAAATAATTAGAGATATCTAATTTTCCCCAAACTAAGCTATTAGATTAAATGTAATTCCAATCAAAATCTCAACAGATTTTTTCGGTGGAACGTAAAAAAACCAATTTGAAAATTTATATGGAGGCTCAAAGGCCTGAGGGCAGCCAGGATATCCCTGAGGAGCAAGTTACAGGGGTGGACTGACCTCATGTATAATAAAGTTGTAAGAATGACGATAGAGGGGCTTCCCTGGTGGCACAGTGGTTGAGAGTCCGCCTGCCGAAGCAGGGGACGCGGGTTCGTGCCCCGGTCCGGGAAGATCCCACATGCCGTGGAGTGGCTGGGCCCGTGAGCCATGGCCGCTGAGCCTGCGCGTCTGGAGCCTGTGCTCCGCAACGGGAGAGGCCACAACAGTGAGAGGCCCGCGTACCGCAAAAAAAACCCAAACCAAAACAAACAAAAAAAAGAATGACGATAGAGAGGCAATCACACAGAGGTGGGCACCCTGAACCCATGGAACCAAGTGGAAAGCTCACAGACAACTCCTCACACAGATGGACGTTTGGTTTAAGACAAAAGTGGCCCTGGGGAGAAACCGCAAAAGGAATCTTTTCAATACATGTGGCTGGACAATTGGGTATCCACATGGGAAAAAATTACCCTGGATCCCTTACACCTCACATACATAAAACAGTCAATTCCAGACGGACTCCTAGCCTCAAGGATGAAAGATAACATGAGAGAGCTTGAGAAGATAACTTAGGAAAGGTCTCTTAAACTAGACAGAGAAGTACTACCCATGGATATGACTGATACATTCAACTATACTTTAAAATTAAGAACTTCTGTTCATCAAAAGATATCATTAAGAGAAAGGAAAGACAAGACACAGATTGGGAGAAGCTTTTTACAACGCATATAACCAACAAAAGCATTTTTAATCATAACATAAAGAAATCTTACAAATTAGTATGAAATGGACAACCAGATTAGAAAAGAAGAAAGACTTCTATATGTGCCTCATAAAAGAGAAAAGCTAAATGACCAATAAACACATGAAAAAGGTGTTCAACCTCATTAATAATGAGGACATGCAACTTAAACTCAAAGTGTAATACCATTAACCAGCAACCAACAAGTCTGAGGGCACCAAGTGTTGGTGTCTGGAGTTGCATGGGCCCGTGGGCACTGCTGCTGGAGATGTAAACGGACACAACCGCTATGGAAAACAGTTTGGAATTATTTGGTAAAACTGAAGACACACGCATCCTATGACTCAACAATTCCGCTCCTAGGTGTCTACCTGACGAAATGCTTGCACATGGGCACCAGGAGGACTGTGCAAGGATATTTACAGCAGCATCGTTCGTGTAACAGCTGAAAACTGAAAACAACCCACATATCCGCTTACGGTAAACTAGAAAAAGAAATCTTGGTATATTTATACAATAAAGTACTATTTGTCAGTATAAATGAATAAATTGCTGTTGTATGCAAGAAGGATGACCCTCAGAAACACAATGTTAAGCAATGAAAGCGAGTGGTGTAAGGAGATCATTAAAAATTTTTTTAGAATTCAGGATGGTGGTTAACCCGTGCAGGGAGAGGTCAGGGAAGAGGACAGCAGGAGTGCACAGGAAATTCACAGGCAACATTAATGTTCTTTTTCTTAAGTTAAGAAGTGGGTATGCATAGGTTAGTTGTATTATTATTTTGAATAGATTTAATAAATAGTCTTTTGCTTCTACTCAATATTTAATCATTTTAAAGGATTCTAAAATATTACATTTGAAGACACTGTATCAGTAGTAATACTATTAATATGAATGCCTCTCAATTACTGAGTGATCACCGTGTATGAATGCCTTCAATGCACTGACCAGGACAGCTCACTGCCCCTGGGGGAGCCCCTGGTCTCTCCAGGGTTACCCGTCCTTACTGTCACCATGAAGTGATAAAAGATGGTGGCTAAGTATCTTGAATACGTTTAACGGAGACCAAAAAAGCTCTGTAATTCTCTGCATCAGGCTAAGAGGCTAGTGAAATCACTTCTTGGTTCAACAGTCGGACAGGCCTGACCCTAGCAGAGGGAAGGGGCCGAGGGAACATCCACTACATACTCAGTCTGTGGTAGGTTATGGCTGCTGGGACACGAGAGACACGAGGACATCCCAGGCTTCCGAAAGTCTGCAGCTCTCTGGAGACAAGCTTGTCACAAACATACGGATAATGCTACATGGCAGTTGGGACAGGTGCCCACGTAATCTCATTTAGGTTGGTGTTGAAGTGTTTTAGCCAGGTTGGGAAGAAACCATGGGATCCACTGACTATATCTGGCCCCAACTTTTAATAAAGTATTCTTGGGAGGAAGAAGTTTCCCATCACAAAGGAAGAAATACAAATATTTAAAAAGCAAGCAAGTCATCAGAGGCTCTCAGCCCTGCTGCCATATGCTTTGCTTTTTTGAGCTTACATTAAAATAACAGGCTCGCATTCCTCAAATACCTCTACTGCTGTTCCTTACTTCTACTACTTGAAAAGGCTGTCAGCTGCTGTCACTTGGAGGCATTACCATATTAGCCACCACTGTTTACTGCTTACCGGGCAGTGTGGCTGTTAGTTTAATAAGCCTCTCCTCTCAGATGACACCCCAGGCTGTCTATGCAAGGGCCACATGCTGGAGTCTAACATCTAACATCTAACAAACATCCAATGAAGGTGCTGGGCTTGGGAGGCAGGGGCAGCCACTTTATAAGAGTATTGATGAGAGGAACTGAATTCAGTTGCATCAGGCTCTACTCTACTGAGGGCTAAAGGGCCAAGTATTTTTGAAAGTGCTTTAACCATTTGACGGTTCCACGGGCTAACCAACTTTGTATAAAATCCAGAAATGTACTCCATGTGCATTTTGAGATGTACTCCGTGAGCAAGTGGCAAAGCTCTTTAATTCACTTTGCATAAATAGCTGAACCTACAAGAGAAATCTCTAGTCAGAGGTTTCCTGGATTATAATGAGAATTTTCTCGATGGGGAGAAGAGAAGTGCCCTTTTCACTTGAAGACAAAGAAATGTTTGTAATGGAAATGTGTGAACCAATTTTCCGAGGGGAGTTTGCTGAAACGCACTGATTAAAACCACAGTGAGGTGATGAGGCAGAGAAATAAAGCCAAGGCGGGTCCACCTAAAACTTGCATTATTTCTGGAAGTGGAGAGAGCCTGCTTTCCCTTCTCCCCCTGCCCCAGGCCGCCCCCGCCCACTGCTGACCCTGCCACTTAGACAATGAGAACCTGCCAGCCTGCAGGACTGTTTACTGTTTCTGGCCACTGTGTACTGGTTACTAAGCTACTCCACTGAGGATAAAATGAGTAGCCCAAAAGACAATGTCCTTCTCAACAAAGCCTAATCAACAGGCCTGGATTCAGGGATTCAGAGGGAAGAGGTAAAGAAGCAGACAATTCCAGCACATGGCAGTGTGTAATGACAATTCTTAGGTTACGAACAAGTACTGCTGACTGATTTAAGGAATTCCATTTCCTAGAGAATAAACCTAAGACACAGACAGGTCAGGTAACCAGATCAAAGTTGCCTAAAATATAGTAATCACCTGAAAGTAATGGGAGTCCTTTATGTAATGTGGGACAAACAAGCTACAAAGCAATGTTTCCCAAATTTCAGTCATTGGAGTTTGTTCAACATAGCTTTTGCCATATCCATGTATATTAATATTTCCCTTTAAATTCACTTTAAAACAACTCATTAAAAAATTCTTAGTCTCCCTCTGAGCAATAATTTCTATGAAATCACACTTTGATAGGCAGTTGTATTTTCTCTAATATACATTTTAAAATGCATAACTATTAAAACAAAAATGTTCATCCACAATGCATTTAAAATCATCTTGTATGTCTCAGAGGTACACATTGGGAAAGAATGGATAAAGTATTTCAACTCAGGTTGACCTGAAGACTATGTTTGTTTCTAAATATCATGAAAAACCAAGAGTAAAGGGGATTCTGTACTACTTACCACCAGGAAGTGCATGAAGGACTTAGATAGATTGGGAGAAGAAGTAAATTCAATACCTTCTGTATAAGGAAAAACAAGTCCAGTATCACTTACATAAAATTTTCTGGATATTCACTCAGGGCCATGTCAATGATATTCAGAGAATCATGGTAATGCTTTTGTGCTGACAACAGGAGGGCAAGGAGGTGCAGGGAGTTGGCATCATCGCCTTGAAGTTGAAGAGCTTGGCGGACATACCCCAGAGCCTCTGGTATCTGGTTTAAAAGAAAACCAGAAAGAATTTTTAAACACACACACACACACACACACACACACACATAGAGCCACCATTTCAGTATCTGATTCTCTGTAAATATAAGGAGCTGTTTCACCATGTGCCACACTCAGATTTTAAGCCATCTTCATGGCAGCCCCAAGATATTAACCACAAACACGAAAACAGAGGCCCCCTTCAAGCAACAGTATGACTAATGAAGTGATACAAGAGACTCTGTTTCTCAGTATAACTGTCAATACCAAATCGTTTACTTCTCCCTAAATAATTTGTCTCTTTTTCCACAAAACTGATTTACTTTCGATTATGCCCAAGATAATTTCACTCTAAATGGAGACACATAACAAATTCCCAGCAGTTTTTATTGGAATGAAACTGACTTAGCTGAACTGTTCTGATTTTTTAAGTAGTACTGAAATTAAACTGCTTGATAAGTTTCAGAACCTTAAACAGAGCTTTCCAAAGGATCAGACACCTGTGATTCTTTTCAAGTCCCTTTGTCCTGCATCTCCGTTAGACATCAAGGAACTATGCAAACAAACTAACCAACCCCACACCTTTCTAAACTACAATCCAAAGGAACTCCACCCAAGAAACAAACTGCAATGCCACATACAGAGCAGGTGTATCCAAATTTAAGTAGGACCAGATACAACCTTAACCTTCAAAATCCAACAGCTCTTCAAGACTTTCTTCAAAATCACCCAAGCACAAGGGTGGATAAAATGCATACATAATGGGTATCTGAACACCCGAGATTCTGTGCAGGTTTAACAGTACCTAGGGAGAATTAGAACCTGAAGCTGGATTTCAAAACAGGCTCAAGACTGAAGCATTCTTACACGGTCACCCCAGGGACTCCTTTCTGTCTCCCCTCCAACTCCGGGCCCTGGCTGGACCTCTTCTCAGCTCTCCTGCTTCTTCCCAAACCCTCAGTAACCTCACTCCTTAGTAGGAAGCAGTGACTTCTGTCTTTACCAAATCTATTCGTTTTCCTCTCCGAAATACCATTTTTGATGCATCTAAGTTAAAAATGCTGGTTACAGAGGCTTTCTGTTTTGAGCCGTAGAATCACAGCTATCAGAGCAGGAAGAGATCATCCGGTCCTACACGTCACTTCATGAAGTGAACCCAGAAGGCTCCATCTACTGCTCCCCTCCCCAGGCGGACAGGCTGCTGTGTAAACAGCACTGGTATTCTGGGAGGGTCAAAAGGCACGGTACACTCATGATATCCGTTTTTAGGGATAACTACTGTAATCAAGAAAAAACTGATACAGGGTGCAAAGTGAGGTCCTTAAGGGCTAGGCTGACTTGAAGGAATTCGAAGCTGGTTCCTTCATTCAATGAGTATTAGTGAGGGCCTCACCATGTGTCAGGCAGTGTCCCCGCTACCAGCGCAAAGCAATGATGACAGATGTGGGTTCCCGCCCTCAGGGAACCTAAGGTCTAGTGAGAAAGATACTGAACAAGAGAGCTGGGCAAGAGGAAGCAGAGGAGCAGGCTGCTACGGGAAGGGGGCTTCAAGGAGGAGGCGAGCGGAGCTCCTGGAGGAGGAGAGAGACCGGACGGTCGGTCACCAGCCCACAGCTGTCTCTGCAGCAGCTCGTGATCAGACCAGCTGTGAGCCACACCATGCCAGGTGAGAGGACCTTGACAGACGAGCTCTCTTGGTTTCCTTGGTCCCCAGGTCGCCAAGGGGAGCCACTTCTTGGCACCATTCCCTGGCCTCCGGGAAGTCAGATACATGCGGACAGCCCAGGCCTGCCAGGGGAATGGCATGTGTGGGGAACTGACCTTCGATTCACCCTCCAGTCAGCACTTAGGATTGTGCTGGGGTTACCACCAGTGTCTTGCACGTGGTGGGCAGGCAGACATGGGGCCGGAGTCTCCTGAACAGCTGGGAGGGAACGGGAGGGTATGAGAATGGCAAAGGCAGCTTCTGGAAGCTACCGCTGGGAAGATGAAGACCAAAAAAGCTTGCCCCTCCAGCAAGGAGAATACCGTCGAGTCTCCTATTTCGAGGAGCCACTGTGTTTAATTGTTCATATCTTCTACATATTTGAAAGGAACTGGTCTCTTTTGTCTACACTCGCTGGCATCTTCCTGTCAATCACTGATACCCTTATGACGACCAGGCCTCACCAGTGACTAAATCCCCACCATGCAGCTCACCACTGGGCTCTGTTAGCAAGGGACAAAGGCTGTCTGAGGACTCCTCGGTCAGGGTCTACACCATGTGCTGCATCCCCTGTTGCCATCCGACCCCAGGTGGGGCCCTCCAGATTTGCGGATTTAATCTCCAAAAGCAGAGCCTGCCTGCCTTGTGTCTTCACAGCTGATGCTCCAATTGACCGAAACACCAGGGTCTTCGCTGCGAGGAGGCAGTGGCCTCTGAGGAGAGTCCCTGGCTCCAGGTCAGCCTCAGGTGAAGGAAAGCAGGTCAGCTACTCCCTCAAACTGTATCAAGACAGAACAGGCACCAAGTGTGGGAACATTGGAGAACTGACCTGTCTGGAGATGGCAAGCTGCAGAGCCAGGTAGAAAGCTGCTTGGTGATCTGTAGGTGACAGGCTGTGGGCCCTGAAAAAGTATTTGCAGCTATTAGTACATGAGAGAGGCCATTTTTATTTTCCATGTCAAACAAGTATTCCCATTTGTATTTTTATTTATACTAAGGCCCCATATTTTTTTAAAATTAATTTTTATTGGAGTATAGTTGATTTACAATGTGTTAGTTTCTGCTATACAGCAAAGTGAATCAGTTATACATATGTCTACTCTTTTTTAGATTCTTTTCTCATATAGGTCATTACGGAATATTGAGTAGAGTTCCCTGTGCTATACAGTAGGTTCTTATTAATTATTTTACCAAGGCCCCATATTTAATTTAACTATTTAATGTTTCATTTAAACTCTTCTCCTCTGTCCATGAACAAATGGCATGCATGTTTCCTCCTGCCACTGTACATGGGAATGGCACAGGAACATGTTTCTGTTTTGTTTAGCATCTGAAATGGCAGCCAATGGGCCTTGACTTTGAGAAGGAGCCTGGGGCTGAAGAAGCCACAGGCCCTGAGGTCTGACCTCCCCAGCAGACGCCTCCCTTGGGCTGAGCAGGAGAAGTCCACGTGTCACGCTGGGACACGGTGAGGCTGTGAGCATACTTGGCAAGGCGACGGCTGCTTTGGTTAAGTTTTCGCTTGGTCTTAAAACTACTTTATCCAAATTTCTGGATTTCAGAGAAACCATATGAAAATCAAAGGCCTGGCTTTGCTTGTAAAATGAGGTTTTGGTTTTTTGATGAACTATAGAGAGAAATGGAGGATATTCATTCAGTCTTTTGAAGCTTCTACTAAGTTCCACGCAGTTTACCTAATTACATGCAACCATGACATGTAAGACTTTGTGGCCAGACACCAGACTTAGTCTATCAGCTGGCTTTTGACACCAATGGGAAGAGGCTATGCTGGCCTCCTACTTGTTGGCAGACACGTCATTCTTGCTTTTATGTGGAAGTCAATTGTATCTTACCACAAGCAACTGGGGGGAACTAGGGGGTGGGGGGTGTCCTCTGTCCTTTTTTTAACCTTAAGAGCAAAACTCCCATCCCTGGGGAATCTTCAGGAGTAAGTTTGCCTCCAGACACGGCCTTAGGGCTCTTCTCACTTTAGTCTAAGAGGCTGAGGCCGAGGATTTGCCTGTGTTGCCCTTTGAGATGTCTTATTTCTAGCAGAGGCCTACTCAGCATGCCCCAGTTTTTATTACTTGACAGGCATTGGTTTTTCCATGCATTTATACATCAAAGAATATTTTTCTTTGGTGTTCATAAAAAGTGAGATGGGAATGTCATGGTTTCTGTCTCTCCCAATTATTCAGGGAAAATGAATACAAAATGGATTATGAAGAGACTTTGAATTTAGCATTATTTATTTTATCTCATCTTCTTTCACAATTAAACCGGCTTTCTACAACCCTCAAAAAGAATTCCACAGAGCTATAATTTTCTCAGCACAGTCTAGAGTTTTTACAAATGAAGTTAAATCAAATCATGGTTGTTTCTACCCAACACCAACCAAGTGAAAAGCTGACAATGGTCTGGTGAACTCAGGGTGTGGATAAGAATAGTTCTGACCAAAGGCCCTACCTTAGCCTCTTCAAATGATTATTAACTGTTAGCCACAGCACTAAGAAACAAACAGAAGTGCTAGAAATCTTGGCATCACTGGGGTACCTTAGGACAACATCGGAAGAATCATCAACTTGGCTAATAATGAATATCCAACAGCCAAATTTCTAGCGAGGCACAACTTAAGCATACACATTTAAAAAAAACCTTATTTCAATAATTTGGCTAATACGTTAAACTGGCCACTTTAGCCTATGAAAGAAAAAAGGAAACATGGAGATGCTCAAAAAAACTAGAAAAAGTGCAAGATGTTCATCTCAGGTAGAGTCCTGAAAACGTGCTCCAGTTGCGCAGGACAACTTCGGCAGCTAGGCTTCCTGTGACAACACCACATTTGTATGCCCACAGAAAATGTGCTTGACAGAAATCATCAAGCAATGCAGGTGAGAGGAAGGACGTTAGTGATCTTGAAAACTGCAAGCTTGCTGGACTCTGTACATGAATTTAGAGCAGCGCTATGAATCCCATTCCCTGCTGTGAGCACCTGGTGAGGCTGCTAAGAGAAAATCAGAGACCTAAACAATGTCACTACAGGGATGCTCACAAAGTGATTCCCTTGTCAAAGCACCTCCATACCCATTAATTCCATTTTTATTCCATAGGAAAAGAAAGAATTGCAAGACACTGGCCCACTGAGGGCACCCATCTATCCACCCATCCACCCACCCATCCATCTACCCCTTCATCTAACCATCCATAGATCCAACCATCCACCCGCCCATCCATCCATCCATCCACCCATCCATCTATGCATCCATCCAAACATCCATCCATCCATCCATCCATCCACTCACCCATCCATCCACATTATGCAGTACCTACTGTGATGCCAGGCCTGTGTTAACTTTTAGGGAGCTTGGAGATGAATAATACAAGTGCCTTTCCTTGAGGAGCTCCCCCCAACACCACAGAGGGGGAGACCTAAATGATCATTACAGTGCAGTACGAGCAGTGCCCTGAGAAGGGTATGCCAGACTGCTACTGGAGTGCATGCGATGGGCCTCCCAGATCACCTGGCTAAAACTTAGACTGCCCTGAGGTCCACTGCATCATTCTCCTAGACTCTGGCTCCAACATCCTCTGGAGCTGAACCAAGAATACAGAGACAGCTGATCAGTTTTGACCCTGGTCCATTAAGACATGTACCCCTTGTAACAATAATAACTACAATTTATGAAGCATCTATTATTAAGCATCTTGTTCGAGAACATCAAGCAAAAGAGGTAAAGCCAGAAGTGAAATTCCGAGGCCTGGTCTCTCCACCATATCACCCTGCTGCCTTATTTAGCCAGTTCTCCTTGAAGTCCCCTTCAATCCTGATTACAGTAGACATGGGACTAGTGTATCATTATGTTAAGAAAGAAAAGTGCAAACCTGGTTAAATCTATTACTCAGGGACCTCCCATTACTTACACACATAGGATGACCCACTTGTCCTGGTTTGTCCTGTATTTTCCTGGTGTTTGCACTGAAAGTCCCATATTCTGGGAAACTGCTCAGTTCCCAACAAACCAGGCTGGCTGGTTACTCCATACCCACAAAACATACCACATTCAAACTTAAATTCAAGCTAGGAGTGGGAGAGGAAAATAAAAGTGAGATTGTGAGATTGTGTCCCTTCTACCACACTGAATGATAACACCAGTGACACCACGCAGCCCAGATTCCTGCATGCTGGGGGGCAAGGTGCTGAGACATGCGCTCGACTGTTTCCAGCCTGGCTTTTCTCTGTAGGATGTGAGAGCCCCCAGGAGCCACCACTGAGATCAATACAGCATCCTAGAAAGCTTTGCAAACAACAGTTTTTCTTCACTATACTTTTGTACAGGACATATGAATTGGTTCAGCCTCTTGGGCTGAGCTTATGAGTGTATGAACAGCCGAGGGTCTCAACATTAAGATGCCATCATGCAACTGGGATGTCTTCAAAAATCACCTCTCTGAATCCAGGAGAGAGCAAACCTTTTTGAATTCTGACTCCAGTCATAATTGAGTTAATTTTCACACGCTGTATCTGCAACCTCACCACTTTTTGAGATACACCGTTTTCTTTTTAAACAAAATTTGCTAAACAATAGTATTAACAGAATTGTGGGGAGAAGATTTAAAATATAAAGTAAGAAAATATTTCTCATCCAAGTGATTTTTAAATACTCATTTACATGTAAGAAGTAATACAAATCCTTCTTATTTACTTAAAATCTTTCCCTTACAGACTTTTGTACAGTACACTAGGATAGTCCTAGTTCATGTGTACTTGAAACCAAATATTTTTATTACTTTGAAAAATACCCTTAAATACACATAGATACAAATTTAGGTTAGCCTTCCCCAATAGAATCACGTAGGTTAGTAGGATTTTATTCCGCTTTATTCCCATATGAACTAATATTTTAAAAATCCCTTTGAATTAGAAACTAAGCAAAAGAGGAACAAAAAAGAAATTCAGGCCAATGGAACAGCTGTTATATAACATGAAGTTATGAATTCTGCGGCTCAAGCAGACCACCACCATGGCTGTTTTTAGAGAGCCAGTAAGATGAGCTGATTTAAGGAAAGTGAAACAGTGAAACAGATGTAATGACCACTTTCTTAGGCATCCATGTGTGGGTTTTACAAACTGGGACTGGAAAATTTAAAACTCCAAATCATTTGAAATGGAAATGCTTTCCACACTCCGTGCTGAAGAGTATCAACAAAAACTTAGCACAGAGATAGGAGGTCTGTTGGCTGCTGTCAGTTGGTACCTTCTGTCATTAACCAGTCTGGGACCGACAGCGTGAAGGAGCTTTGGGCACGCCTGCTAGGAAATGGAAAGAAAAGAGATGAAAATGTTTCAGACTAACTGAAACCAAGTGCTAATGATTTCGTGATAAAAAGGAGCATGTACACTGTGACAAATCTACAGGCAGCCCTAGTTCTAAGGAAAGAAATCTAACAATGGTTATTAGGTATTGAGAGGTCCTCGTAAAACTTTTGGTTAAGTAACTAACTTTCTAATATAATTCCAAGAAATCAAGTAACTCAGGTATATTTAAGGTGACAGGATCAATACCAATTCTATATTGGACATCATGGGGCTATACTTTCAGACAGTGATTCATGTTAGTGATTTATTATGCCTGCAGTAAGAATAAAATGAGGGAAGTGTGGAATAGTAGGTACCAGAGAAGCCAGTCAGCGTCAGAGACCTTGACCTTCCTGACCTCAATAGCTACAGGATTCCAGCTCTTCATCCCTGCATCTCGGTCCCTCACCTGCAGTGAACACACGACTTGTTCCATCTACCTTATTGGTGTGGGGCGAGGATCAAGTAAGGGGTGTGAAAGGCCACTGTGACATGCAAGCGGTCTCTAATTATAAGGGCTTCTCCTAATTTCGTGAAAGGTACAGCGATGGAGATAAGCATAAGGTATTATGGAGCATGGAGGGGATGGAGAGGCCTGGGACCTGCCGGCCTGACTGTCTTATAAGTATTTCAGAGACTGCCCTAAAATCTGGCCTTTTCATTTCGTAATATAAAAATCTGCAGATTGACATGTTAAAAAAAAAAAGGTTGCAAAGAATGATGCTTTTTCTAGATGATAAAAAATGTCTTTAATAAAAGGAATCATCTCCCTAGACATAAAAAAGTACCTCTCTTAGAGCTGGAATCGCTTTATTAGGAATGAATAAAATGTGCCCGAATGAATAAACAGATCAAGAATGCAGATTTACCTGGCAACAAGTGATGCAGCAAGTTTTATACTGTCTGTTCGGTACTCGAGAGGAAAGACTCCCAGGGGTAAAACACTGTTTACATAATCTTTATAAATATCTCTTCTTTTTATACTTATCATACTTTGGTGTCATTATGTACAGCCGAGTGAAAAGATGAACTCCCACTCACCTCTGAAATGCAAGAAGCGCCTTTCTCTGTAGGACCTCCTGCATCCCTCGCAAAGAAGCTAAGAAAAGGGTTCGATTAGTCAGTGGCATGGGAGATCAGGGAGTTTCTGACAAATAGAAAACCCATCACAAAAACTAAACATTTGACTGGATTAAGAGCAACAAATTCTGGGAGCTTATGTGCCCAGTCCTGTCCCAGGCACTGTCGAGGACGGGAAACGAAGGCCGTGTCAGCCTGAGGCCCTTGCACTCGTTGGGCATAACTGTGGAACCATGCCAAGGCGAGAGTGAGAGTTGGCTGGTCACTCTTGGTACCCCCAGGAATAGCAGCCTGTCTTCAAAAGACCAGCTGGGAACTCCAGAGAGGAAAGCATTCTCAAGGGCAGGCATGTAATTCACGGGTGAAGAATGGCTCTGCCAGAATGGAATAGAAGAGATTCAAGCACCAGTGGGTGGATTTGACGGCCTTCAGAGTTCCTTCTGGCACCGAAAACCAAGGACACTAGCCTGATGCCATGGAAGGCCAGTTTAATTCACGGAGGCAAGGGCTAGGACCTTTAATGCCTTGATGTGAACACCAGGGACAGACAGGGCAAACCCAACACCGATACTGGAAAATCAGCTCAACACTTCCCCTGTAGACAGCATGTGAGAAATGCCACCTTAGAGTCTTATAGAAACTAAAAAGGTACTTTTTCCTGGGACAACAGAAAAACTCCTAGAGGAACCTGTTTATGGCTGCACCTGGAGATGGTCCTTATCTAACAAATCCAACATGGCAGATCCCATCCTGACATCGCTCTGAGGATGGTGGAAGGCTGCCCAGAGCTGGATGTAGCTGTAAGCCATGACTAACTTACAACAGTGAATGAGCTAGAGGCACCCAGAGAGCTGTCCCAAGAGAACCATGGATACAGGTGAGACCCAGCAGGGTCACGTGACTCTCCCAAAATTACAGGGCTAATTAGGTGTAGAGTCTCAACTAAGAGGTTATATGGATAAATATATGGTATGAAATTTACCCTTCACTGAAAGCCTACTATAGTTAAAAAAATGTTCTGGGTATTGCCAGTATATATGAAAAATTAGCCAAAAAAATCCATGATTGAAAATCAGTTGATATGCAAAACTTCTCCAGGGTCTTTGATATTTTAGGGCAGAGGAAAGAAAGATTTGGGGTAACATGTAAAATAAACTATAGCAAAATTACAAAGAAAGCAAAAGAAAATGAATACCATAAAAGTCAGGGTAGTGTTTTCTCTTAAGGGGGCTTGTGATTGGGAGGGGCACGTAAAGGGCTCCCAGGTAGCTGGCAAGGTTCTATCTCCTAAGCAGGGTGCTGCTTATAAGAATACATTCCCTTATACTAATTCACTGAGTTGGACAATCATTTTTGAGATTTTTTTGGGTATTTGTGTTACATTTAACAACAAAATGTAAAAGGAATAATAGAAGGAGTTCAGAAAAACAATTTACCAATTTACCCTTTCTGCAAACATATAATTGAAAACTCATTAAGTATAGAAAACATAATTAAGATTTTTTTTTTAGCCGGAAGCCCATCCACCAAAACAGTAAATACATCCCAAACGTGTAATGTCACTGCATGTGCTATGAGCCGCTATACTACACATGTACGTATCCATGAATTAAAATGTGCAAATGGGGACTTCCCTGGCGGTCCAGTGGTTAAGACACCGCGCTCCCACTGCAGGGGGCATGGGCTCGATCCCTGGCTGGGGAACTAAGATCGCACATGCTGCGCGGCGCGGCTAAAACATAAATAAATAAAAAAGAGTTGTTAAAAAAAAAAAAAGTGCAAATGGAGAAGGGGCAGGTACTGATAAATCAAGGGATGCTTTCTGGAGGAGGTGGGCCCTGAATGCTTCTAGATTCCTAGCCTAAGACCCAACATCCCTCCACATGGGGAGAGCTCAGGCCAAGCGCTGGGGCAGAGTCAGGTGAAGGCCGGGTGGGGTGAATTCTCTCTCAGGGCCCTGCTCACCTCACTCCTCAGGACAGATCCCTACAGCTGCCAGCTGGGCACCACCAGCACAGTGCACCTGTGAAGAGGGCCTGGGAGCCGGGGCACAGGGCCTGCATTTCTTCCCTCCCATTCTCCGACCAGTCCAAGCAAAGAGGACAGCGGTGGCAGGTCCCCATAAGACGGCAAACGAGGAACCAGCCATGCGCCCTCCTGAGACAGGGGATGGGCCGGTCCTGCAGTGCAGACTTGGTGGCTCCCCAGCTCCCGTGGGCGGGGACTTCGCTCACCGTCAGTGGCCTGCAGACTGTACGTAAGCCCCAGGGCCAAGTAGCCTTTGGCCTTGAACTCTGACGTTTTCTCTCCCGCATCAACGACGGTTTTGGCAAACTCCTCAGCCTCTTCCAACTGAAAAACCAGGTAAGTTAAAAACAACAGCAACAGCCTGCAGAATTTCTAACATGAGTTCCCGTAAGCACCTGCTGTCCTAAGCGGTTTCTGATGCGCCACTGTGAAAATAACTCCCAGACCTTCCAGTTCCACTCTGGTGATTCTGTTTTCTGTATTTCAGCTTCTCAACAGTCCTCAGGATTCCCACCTTGCCTTTTTGCTTTCAATCTTTCCTTATTGCTTTTTTGCCCTCTTTTCCGAGGTCACTTTCATACTTGGTGGGGCTCTTTGTCGTCTCTGTTTTTCACTGATTGGCTCTGTGATTAGATTGTGCTAGGTATTCAGAAGTTATATATACATGTATGTATAATTTGTAAAGAATAAAGTTCTTGAAATATTTTGTGCTTGGGTTCTTTCCTTTTTTTGCATGACATAAAGAATCTTTTAGGCTTGGATTCTCTTTCCCACAAGCTGTTAGAAATTTCAAAACTCCAGCTATTTATTTTACAGTACACGGCACACAGACCTCGCACTGGCAGATTCCAAAGGGAAGAATGTGCACCTGTAAACTACACCCACAATAAGGCCTTTTGCACAACTCACTAGAGGCAAAAATAATAAGATTTGCTCCTTCGGGGTATGGTAAGTGTTGATGTTACTGAAGCTGGGTGATAGTACATGGATGATAGTTGATTATACTCCTTACTTTTGTGGTATTTGGAAATTTTAATGATAAAAATGTAAAAAAAAATACAGAAAAGATTTGCTATTCTCATCTTGTAAAAGAGAGTCAGGTTTATGTTAGGTGTTATGGTGATGAACGATGCCATCGCTGGAAGGAGTGTGGCAGAGTCACAGCCGGAAGCTGGCATTTTCAAAACCGAAAGATTCGGTCCACTGCTCCAGCCACTCTCGGGGCCTGCCTGCATGTCCCCTCACTTGCCACACCAAAGTGTTAAAACCTGCACGGACCACACAACACCTTCACGGCTGTGTTTCAGGTGAGAGCCACATTTCAAAATGTGTTTTTTCTTCCACACTTTCCCAAGAAAAATTTGACCAAAGTAGGACACTTTCTTCACAATGTTTACTTGCGCCCTGCTGGGTGAGAATAAATGGGAAAAAAAGAGCAGCAAGGACCATCGTGGTAAAAAACCTTAGCCAGGTGCGTCAGTCTTTTGGGCAACTTCTTCTTATCACTAACCTTGACATGAAGTTAGAGAAAGACATTAAAACTCCATCGTATGTGGCGATCAATTGAGTTTTCTAGTTTCTGCTCAAACAGTACGTTTTTGAGGTACTACAACTGTTACAAATCAGCCTCTTCCCAGATTCAAAGCTGAACAAGAACATTGGAAGCGGAAAGCCTCTGTGCAGGAAGAGGAATGAAGGAAGCTGGGATTAGTAGCTAAAGTAGAGGTTGACTCTTGGCTTTACAGAAAAGCTCAGGCTCTCCTAGGAGGGAATCACTGAGTGACATAGACTTTTTCAGTCCCATATGACTTACATACAGGATGCATCTGAGTAGGAATTCCAATTCCATCTTACCATTTCTACTTTTGAAGCACATTCCCATGAAAAAGAAAAACCTGGAGTTGTACTGATTCCCCAAAGTCCTTGGGGTGGGGTTGAGGCCTGAGGAGGGCTGTAGCCTGGGCCAGAAGCCCGGGGCTCTGAACAGCCTTGCTTTTGTGTAGCTGATGAACTGCTATTATTTCCTCTCTGCCTAGGAATCAAAAGGGTGGCAGCCCCCGCACATGCGGAGGGCCCCAGCCCCACTCACCCAGTGAAGGGAGCCCATGCACAGCTTTGCGGCCAGAAGTGGGATGGTGGCGTCGTCCGGCTTCAGGCGGATGCACTCTTTCAGCACCTTCACCGCGCGAGCAGACTTGGCAAAAGGAGATCATTTCTGTGAAACTCAAAATTTTTGACAGAACCAAACACTAAAGCCTTCCCAGTGGGGTTTCTGGTTAGGATACACTCTTAATGAGGTTTTCCAACTTTCACCCAATGAAGCAAGGGCCTGGGGATGGAGATAACCTGAGCTTGGAACTTTTGGGGGACTGGGGAGTAAACTGCAGTTAAAACAAGTGAAAACCCTGCCCCAGAATCCCCCTAGTTTTATTCCCTACTTGTGTAGCCATTGTAAAAGTAAGAAAAAAATAAAGACAGTGGAGGTTTACATTATTATAAAAAAGAAACTATCTAATTTAAAGCATACCATTCAGAATTGAAAGCATACCACTCCACTTCGCCCAAATAATCTTGTGTCTCAGACTTTACAATTCACTAAAGGGCCCAAATTAACAAGAATAACAGTGGCTATTATCTTTATTGAGTGTGTTCGTTTTGGGGGTCCTATGCTAAACACCTTGTGGGTATCATCTCACTACCTGATGACAATTCTGTGAAGTCGGTACCATTTCTCCATGAGACGGAAGAGGAAGCTGAGACACTAAGTGACCTGCCATGGGTCACACGGCTTCGAGGTCAGGACCAGGCCTCTCTCTCCACAGCCCTTGCTTTCAACCAATACCGTACACTGTCTCATATCACATCTTGCTAACGATAATTAGCAGATTTCCCCTGCCAGGAATAGTTTACACTCTCAAATGAGTGAAAGGGGTCAGTGTGAAGAACTGACCTTAGTTTAAGCCACAGCTTCAGATAAATAAAGTTACAATGACTAGAAAAAGGCAAGAATTTCAAAATTTTCTAATCAGTGATGTGTCCATGTTGGCCCCCAAATAATTAAATTCGATCGCTCATTTATAAATGACCACAGGACAGTTTCAAATAGCTGGTGTAGACATCTACTAGGCATCACGTCATCCCATGAAATTCACGTTAACCGTCAACACAGAGGATTGCACGTCACAAAGGGAGACTCACTTTTCCAGCAGCCATGAGTGACAGAGCAAACTGGTACCAGAGGTGGAACTCCTCAAAGGCAAACTTCATGGCTCTTTCTAAGCACTGGTTTGGAAAGAAGAACAAATGCAGACCGGTAAGAATTGCCGGTGGCACCGCTGGGCAGGTGTGAGCGTGCGTCTGTGTGCACTAAGAGCAGTCCTACCACATCTGCTTCCCTGGAATGCTTAAAGCACCCTGCTCCTCCGAACCCTCCCGAGGCGCCCCCCGAGGCAGCCCACTGGGCCAGAAGCCGGGGGCAATCCACAGCTGACTATAACACAGCCCTTGATCCCAAGTAGCTTTTCATCCAATGCAGGCAAAGAGGCAGGCACACAAACTACTCAAATACAAGGTCCCAACTGACAAGTGTCCCAAGAGGAGGAAACAGAAAGTACTGTGGGAAAGTGGCCACGGGCATCGGGAATGGCATCCGGGAAGACTGGTACTTGAGCCAGTTTTGTTGGATGAGAAAGGAGAAAACACAGCTAGGGTTCGGAAACGGTACTCCGGGAACAGGGGGGACAAACAAGGACGTGGAGGCACGAAAGAGGATGCTTCGACGTGCCAATGACAAGTGGTCCAGTATAAACCCAGCTGAGGGCACGGGGGGCCAGGAGGCAGGCGCGGCTGGGGCCGCGTCACTGAGAGTCTGACATGGCGGTTCCTTGTCTGAGTTGTTCCATCTCCCTCCTCCTCCCCAGCTTTGGTTCTCCCTCCTCTGTGCTCCCAGAGTTCATACCTGTGTTAATGTGATGTCTTCACCCGCCCCAGCCCAGCCCAGCCCAGTCCAGCCCAGCCCAGCCCAGCCCAGCCCAACCCAGACAGCCCAGCCCAGCCCAGCCCAGCCCAGTCCAGCCCAGTCCAGCCCAGCCCAGTCCAGCCCAGCCCAGCCCAGCCCAGCCCAGCCCAGTCCAGCCCAGTCCCACTCTGAGAAACTATCCAGGGCAGAGATCCTGTCTTCTCTGTCTCCTCAGTGCCCACCCGAGGCGGGAGATCTATAAATGCAGGTCACTCAGTCCATAAGGAGCCTCTGGTTTCTGCACAGTGACATGACCACGTCAGAACCTAAGGGAGATCATGGGATGAGGGGGGTGTATGATGAGGGGGGTGTATGACCAGGGTGGATGAAGGCCAGGAATAAGGTGGATAGAATGGTCCAGGGACTTCAGAAACAAGGACAGAAGCAAGAAATGTGTCTGAATTAGAATCAGCAAGGAAGGGCCACCCAAGGAAGAAGTGGGTGGCTGGTGAGATGTAGGGAGTGAAGGGGGCCCCCAGAGTCTCCGGCCTGCATACCCGGGAGCAAACCCATGGCATGGAAGGTCTGTGTATGCAAGTGTGTGTGTGTGTGTGTGTGTGTGTGTGTGTGTGTGTGTGTGTGTTTATTAGAGAGAACGACAGAGAAAGAGACAGAGAGAAAGAGAGACTGGGGAGGCAACCTGAGGGGAACTAGCAGGCAGAGAAGAAAGTGCAGAGATGAATTAGAAAGCCAGGCCCCTGGAACAATGGGCCTCTCATGTGAGGCCTTCTCCCAAGGAGGTTTTTAAATGAACAGAAAAGCCTTAAACAACAACAAAACCTTCACCCTGAGAGGGCAGACAGCTCCCATCAGGGTCACCTCAAAGACTGATGTGGACATGCGGTGGCCCCTACAGCACCACGTGGCCACTTTTCTCCAGCGATGCTCCATGCAGCCCGGGAGCAGAGGAGAAGGACGGGTGGGATGCTCAGGATTCATGGATGCACGAGGAGGGAGGGGCAGGGGGCTGGGGCTGAGAGACAAAGGAGCCACAGAGAAGGTCATGATACAGGTAAAGTGAAGGGGTGAGAGGAGAGGAAAGAATTCCAGAATTTTAAATGGTATTCACAGAGAAAGTCACAGTAAATACTATGCTGGTTGGTTTACTGTGAAAACCTGCACTAAAAAATATATTAAGAAGCGAAGTATAAGCAGTTAATAAGCCCATGCTGATGATGGTACAGGATGTAAAACGGACACTTGGTCCCTTATTTTGATCACACTGGAGACACACTTAGTCAAAAACTCGGGGGTGGACAATACTGGAGGTGGGGCGGCCAGGAAGTGAGAAGCATGAGGACAAATGCTACCCTCTAGAATGACTGAGCAGAAAGAGAGAAGGCGCCAGGCCTCTGATATCATGAGATGCTGCTGCTGCCTCTCATCGGACTTCCTGCCGTGGGGAAAATAAACTCATGTTTGGTTAAGGCACTCACTATATGGTGGTTTCGTTCATTACGTCTGGATACACCTCTCACTAATAAAAACACTGAATAGCAGAGCTGGGATCTGAATCTGTCGCCAGAGCCCTCTTACCTGCTCTGCTACACAGATGAGCAAAAAGAAAGCATTACTGTGCCTTTAAGAAGCACAGTGGGTGTAAAAAGAGGAAAGCAGCTTGCTGAGAAGATCAAGTGGGCAAGATGGGGTGGTTCGGGAAGACTTAACCCAGGTGTGGGGTGGCATGGGCTGGGAACACGTGGGGGAGGACAGGTATTAAGGAGAGAACGCCAAGCGGTGAAAAGCCAACAGTGCTTGGAAACTGACTTAGGGAAGGGGGATGAGGGATGATGAAGAAGGAAACCAGAATGATGATCACATTGGTGGAAGTAGGCAAAGGAGTCAGTATGTGGAGAGAAGTAGGTAGATAATGATCAAAAATGAGGTTTGTTCTACAGCTCCACTCAACTAATTCATTGCAATATAACCACTAAGCACTTAAATGTGTACATGGAGACATTTAAAGGTTTAAGTGCTTTTCTGCCTCCTTTTGTGAAGAAGAACGATAAACATCAACTTCTTTCCTGATAAACAAAAGGAGCTCACAGCTCAAACAGTCTGCTCTGAATCAAAAAGCTAGATCTTATAAATAAGTGTGCATCCTTATTTTCTTTTGTGACAAAGGCCAACATACTCATTAACTTCAGTGAGAAACATTCATGGAAGCTTAACTGGTACAGAGCTCCACTCCAGCTCCAGGGAAATGCCAGCCCTCATAAAGAGTAGACTCAGAATCGTGGGGCTATCAGGGAACTTGGGAAGCATCTAGTCGAAGTCTCTTAACGGAAGGGACATTTGTCATTTTGGCTGCCTATCACCTCAAAACTCTCCTGTTTATTTTCAGGCAGGGGTTGGGGTAAGGACACCCTAGATAAAAGGGGAACAGACTCTGCTTTCCAGGTGCCAAACCTAAGGGTGAGCGAAGGAGGGAAGCAACTGGAGTGTGTCACGTGACCTGAGCCTGGCCAGTGAGATGCTCCTGCCAGCGAGCTGCATCCAGAGGTCTGGGCAGGGGGACTGGCTGTTGGAAGTTGTTTTCCGTGGCCAGGCCTGGGGGCCACGGTAGCAGCTGGGTTGGTGGAGGCCCTCCAGAGTTAACAGTATCCTCCCAGACTGGGGCAGGGGGCTTTGCCTCCTCAATTTCTGCTCACCCCTGTTCTTTAGCCTTCTGTGTGCTAAACGGTATGCATTGGTAGATGCATGACTTTTCTGCCTGAATTGACAAGTCAGGTCTGTTACCTACAACCAAGGCTCTGAAGGTGCACCTGATCAAATGCTTCAGGCCCCTCTGAGAGCACCCCCTACCACCCAGCCCCCAACAAGCAGTTGTACTACTTCTGCCTGAGAACCTTCCAGAATAGGGAATTCATGACATGTACAGCAGCTAGAAATAAAGAATCACCACAGATTAAGTGTGTGAATTTGGGCAAGCCAATTAACTTCTCTATACCCAGATTCCTCACCGTAAAGTGAGAAATATAACAGTAATTAATGTAGAGAGTTATCAGGAAGATTAAATTAGTTAATACATAATAAGCAACAGGAACAGTACTTCAGATACAGGCTAGTAGGTGCTAAAAAAAGGTTAGCTATTACCTAAAATTAACATTCTTATATTAAGAGAGAAAATGTAACATGACATCTATCATTTTACCCAAATTTAATATATGAAAATTCAAACGTATAATACGTTATATCAGAAATAATTATTTACTGTACAAAATGTTTCCTCATTTTAGAAAAGGATTCAATCTGAGACCCTTGAAAATAATGTACAACTTTATGGAAGCAAACTGTTAGAATACATGTTTATTATTTCCTTAATAAGTGGTATGGACTAAAAGTCTGTGTCCCCCCCAAAATTCTTATGTTGAAACCTAATCCCCAATGTGACCGTGTTAGGAGGCGGGGCCTTTGGGGTTGATTGGGTCATGAGGGCGGAGCCACAGAGAGATCCCTTGCCCCTTCCACTGGGCGAACAGCGGGCAGTCTGCAACCAGAAAGCAGGTCTTCACCAGACATCAAATCTGCCAGTCATGATCTTGGACTTCCCAGCCTCCAGCATTGTGAGAAATAAACGTTTGCTGTGTACAAGCCACGCAGTCTGTGGTATTTTGTTACAACAGCCCAGACTCGCTGAGACAACAAGCTCTTTGCTAGCACTGCAGCCAGGTGCTCTTCTAATTGCTTTACAAGAACTGCCTCGTTCGCTGGTCCTAATGACCCAACAAGGTCCAAGCAGGTACTGTTACATTTACAGAGGAGGGAAATGGAGCACAACTCTGCCATGTGACCACGCAGGGTCTCAGAGAGCTGTGGCAGATCCAGGATCTGCACCCAGGTGGTCTGGTTCCAGAGCTGGAGCGCTTATCCATAGCACTCCACTGCCTCTGAGACGTTAATTACAGACAAGCCACTCAACTGATTGGGCCCACCCGTACTGCATAAAGCAAAGTATAGCTAAATAAAAGCCTCCTAAAAATGCCACATGTTCCCTGAAATACTTCCGAGATTCAACAATATTTTTTACTGCTGAGGGGCCCTTGCTCCTGTGTCCTCTTGGGGATCCCTGGAGCTCTGAGGACTGAGGCCTTTCCAGCTTGCAGAATTTTCAGGAAACTTCACAGATCCCAGAGATGCCCACCAGCATCACGGTGGCCCATCTCAAAGGTGCACGATTTGACAAAGATGTACACAGGCCATGGTTCCCTCTACACTGCAGATCTTTCACAGGCCCCTCCCAGCTCGGACCCCATTCTCATAA